CACGTATGACAGCGAATTTCAAAGCACAATAATCTTATTTTGAAAGCTTTCCCACCCGGAAAATTTGTCTTAAAGGGTTGAGTAGCGATTCTAGCACATACACAATACTGTTTCTTCAAGTTTATTCCTATATACCTCTTTTTATTTCTTACTTATAGTCGAGGAGGTGTGCTTCGTCGCCTAATTCGTGGGATGCGCCAACTGTTTCCGCCAATTAATGCTATTTCTACCTTTCCCGGTGCCTCCTTAGCAACGGATACTGTTTGTTTTTCCTAATATCACGCCTCATTAAAGGATACATTCCTACCTGTTTGTGGTTTTCTCTTCTCGAAGTAACAATGTGCTTACCTATGAGCATTGTTCGAAACTGTAATAAACTCCCGAAGGCATGGAGGCATGTGAGCTCTTTAACGATTTTCCTAAATGCAAGCCTTGTTGCCTGTTTGAGTGATGCATCTGAATCAAATGTTGTAGAACGACGGGGTAAAACTAATTGTTGTGAAACAGGTCCGAAGGAAGTGCTTAAGGCATCTCGGCACCGGACGTGCATCGATTATTGATCTCATAGAATTTTGCGACTATTTACTCAGATGCGTAGGGTCATCGCCTATAGATAAGACAAGATAAACTGTCCACTTAAACCTGGGAAGTAAGCAAGGCATGAACTGTTAGTCTGGTATGCGCATGTGAAAGGACAGGTTACTTACGCAAGCCAATCCAGATTACAGTAAAAGACTGTGAAGCATGTTTAAAAGTGCATCACGTGAGATAGCAGTCAGTTATGTGGGGGAGATGGAGTGAGAGGACAGGAGGGAGAATGCGGTCAAGTCCATTATCGATCTTCGCCTCACCGGCTGCATACAGAGTTGTGGCTTTCTACTCCGTATTGCAGCGGCCTCTGCAAGGCGCAGGAGACGCTCAGTCGTCGCCTGAAGTACAACCTTAAATGTGGTTATTGGATTCACCGCATAGCCTCTGTTCATCAGATAATTTATAGTTGAATTCTTAGGTACCTTAATTTGCACCCTTAGCAGCCACTTCGACGTATTGAAACATTGTTTTCCCGGAAGAAATTTGAACGAGGCAAAGATTCCGAGATTTACTGACGTCATATAATTTCACGACCTCTTATTCGACTGCAAACGGTCGTTGCCTATTAACAAGATAAATTAACTGTCCAATTAAGTGTCGACCTATAAGGGTGAAGCTTGGTAAGTAAAGAGAGTAGGTGCTATTAGTATTAGATATGGACGCACCCTTATCAGCCACCTCGACGTATGTACAACTGACCGAGTGGCTAACTGCCTTTGCGAGCACCCAGTGTATTTGCACTCGCAACTACAAAATGTCGTGACATTCAAAGAATGTTTATAAATTCTGCTTACTCCATCACCTTTGCCTTTTTCAAAGTTATTCCGGAGGTACAGGGCTTCGATTATCGATTTGTCAGTTCGCCTGTCACCAACGATGATACATACCGTGCATCTCTCCGGCATGACTGATTCACGGATGCTGACTCATGGGAATAAGCTTAGAGTGATAACACTCGCACAGCACCCGACGCACCCTGTCACTCAGGCCCGGTTACTAGAGTAGATTAGGATTGCCAGATTCGCCGTC